AGGCGAGTGCTGAGATTACAGGCATTGTGCTACCATGCCTGGCTTTGGAACTCAGAATTATGATTAATAAACTAATATATAAACAACTTTTTTAAAAAAGGTATTTCTTACAAGGATGCCATCTCAGTTACCTGAATGTAAGTTTGTGTTTCTTTCTCATCAGTCCTCCTCCATAGAATCTGAGTTGACTTTAAGGGAGTTCTTTGACCTTTAAATTGAAAATATACAATAATCCAGAATCTTTGGAACCTTGTTTTTCAGGAGGATCTCAGTGAACATGTAGTTCAAGGTGATGCCTTCCCAGGACATGTGGGCACAGCATGCCTCTTATCATCCACCATTGCTGAGAGTGGGCGGAGTGCTGGGATCCTTACACTTCCCATCATGAGTAGGAATTCCAGGAAAACCATAGGCAAAGTGCGAGGTGAGTGTGGAGAAGCAGGCAGGCTCTTACAAATCAAGTTAAGCTGGAATATTTGTTAGTTTTAAATTGAGTTTATGATGGCGCCAGATGTGATGGTGCACACCTGTAATCCCAGCACTTGGGAGGCTGAGGCAGGAGGATCGCTGCAAGTTCGAGCCCAGCCTTTTGCTACAAAGTGAGTTTAAGACAAGCCTGAGCTACATAGTGAGACCCTGTCTCAAAAAGACCAAAAAAAATAAATAAATAAACTGAGTTTATGAGAATGGTGAAGATTAATGATTTGGTTTAGATTATTTACTACAATGACAATTTAAGGAACGTGTCTATTTTCTAGAAACTTTGAATCATTTTTAAAGACTTTTCTCTGATAGGGAAAACTGGAGTTTTCCAGATGTATACTGTTTAAATGTCATTGAGCTCAGTGGCCTTTTAAATGTTTACCTTTGCCCCCCCCTCCTTTTTTTCTATGAAAGTTGACTTTATCATCATTAAGCCATTACCGGGATACAGTTGTGACATGAAATCTTCGTTTTCAAAGTACTGGAAGCCAAGAACACCACTGGATGTTGGACATCGAGGTGCAGGAAACTCAACAACAACTGCGCAGTAGGTTGCACATTTGGGTGGGATTAGCATCAGTAACTCACACTTGATGGTATTAGTGGTTTGACCCACTAAAGGTTGGATACTTTGTTATGATCCTGGGAGGTAAATACACTTTAGCAAAGGCATCGCCATTTCAAGGTAGTGACAGACTCTAGCCTTAGATTCTGGTCCGTCTTTTTAATACGGTATTGAATTGATGAAAGATACTAAGGTAGAGAGCTAGGAGGGAAAGTTTGGTGCAGAACCTTAGTGGCATCTGTGTGTCAGTGTCCTATTCATTCCTTGTTGGCACGTTTCCTTCTCTTGGTCTCAGTTTCATCACCTGTGGTTTTTTTTTTGGGGTTTTTCTCCGGTACCAGGAACCGAACTCACGACCTTGCGCTTGCCAGGCAGGCGCTTTGCCGCTGAGCTAAATCCCCAGCCCCCATCACCTGTGAACAGAAGGATTTGGATGAGGGTATCCTGGTATTCCTGTCTGCTCCAAGCACCCATGATTCTAAAACAGAACTGCACTATAGGGAATGTTAACCCTTTCTGAAGAGAAAAATGGCCCTTTCTCTTCTTAGCAGGTGCAAATTCCAGCCTAACACTTAATTGTCTTTTTTTTTTTTTCTGTCCAAGTTTTGAATTGCATTCAAGTATCAGTAACATAATTTATTGCCATAGGCTTTCTATTGTAAATTTTAATCCCACCCCTTTGATTTAAAATGATGCTATGCCTGGTGTGGTGACACACACCTGTAATCCAGCATATGCGAGGCTGAGGCAGGAGGATTGCTGTGAGTTGGAGGCTAGCCTGGGCTACAAAGTACAAGGCCAGCCTGAACTACATAGTGAAACCCTGTGTCAAAAAGACTAACTAACTAAATAAATGATGCTGTGATAGCTTTGGGAGCTGTGATAATCACTATGAGCATGTAAGTCTGAAACAAATCAGCTTACCATTTAAGGAAGAAGCATCCTCAGGCCCTTCTCAGTCAAGCAATAAGCTTTCTTCCTTGTGTTCTTTTTTTTTTTTTGATACTGGGAATCAAACTCATGACCTCGTGCCTGCTAGGCGGGCACTGTGCTGCTGAGCTATATCCTTTGTGTTCTTGTTCTTAATACAATTTTTATCCTTATGCTCTTTTTGTGTGTCAGCCTTTCCTGTTTGTCCGCAGTCTGCCAGTATTAAGTTATCTAGAGGACAAATTACAAGGAGCAAGTTCGTCTTCATTTCTTCATGGCATTGAAAAGGATTGTTTTCCTTAGTTGGTCACTCACATGTCTGTAAGACAAAAAATTCCGTAGTACAGGGAAGTATGTGTTGTGGTATAGGATATGTTTATAGTCAACGTATCAATACCTATAATTGTTAGAGCTCACATTTGTGGAGTAAATGCATACTGCAGCCAGACGGGGTCACAGTGATATTTGGGGGATAGAAAAAAGCCTCAAGATAAAGAATACATACTATTGTCATTGTTAAAAAACGTTGAATTTTGGGGGCTGGGGATTTAGCTCAGCAGCAAAAAGCGCCTGCCTGGCAAGCGCAAGGTCGTGAGTTCGGTTCCCGGTACCAGAGAAAAACAAAAAACAAACAAACAGACAAAAAAATGTTGAATTTTTAAAATGGCATTTGTTTCTTTTCTGTAACCTATGATAAGTATATTTCTTCTCCATTTCAGGCTGGCAAAAGTTCAAGAAAATACTATTGCTTCTTTAAGAAATGCTGCTGTTCATGTAAGTAATCTTGAAGGAATTCTGGCCTCCTGAGGTAGATAAATGTGGCCCAGGCTGGGCATGGTGGCGCATGCCTGTAATCCCAGCACTCTGGGAGGCTGAGGCAGGAGGACCCTTGTGAGTTTGAGACCTGCCTTGGGCTACAAAGTGAGCTCAAGGTCAGTCTGAACTGCACAGGGAGACCCAGTCTCAACAAAAGACAAAAAAAAAAAAAAAAGATAAATGTGGCCCAGGGCAGTCTACAAGGAGGAATATTTGTTTTTTCTGAACATGTGTCTTATGTGAAAGCACAGTATCTCTCAGCATTTGTATTTAGATCCATGGTGAGAATTGGGATGGAAACAACAGAATCATAAGCATCGTTTTTGATCTAACAAACTTTGAGTTATTGATGCAACAAAAGGTGTGTCGGTGCCTACCCTGCCTACCAACTTTTTTATGTTAAGTTTCTTCTTGTTCTTTTTTTTTTTTTAAGCAGAGTCTCAGTATATAGTGCAGGATGGCCTTGAACTCACTTGCTTATGTAGCCCAGGCTGGCCTTGGACTCACTTTTGTAGGTGTAGTCCAGGCTGGCCTGAACTCACAGTCACCCTCCTGCCTCAGCCTCCCAAGTGCTGAGATTATAGGCATTTGCCACCATGCCTGATGTTAAATTTCTTAAATGCTTTCTTTTATCAAATCATAAAGTATTAATCCATTCATTTCCTTAAACATAGTTCAGCAAATAAACTTTTCTCAGAGTCCCTCCACATACTTTAAACTTGTATTCTTAAAAATAGTTCAGCAAATAAACTTGATTGGTCAGTTATTTATCACTTACACGAACTAATGCCTATCCCAAGCTACTGTATGTTTTCATATTTTACCTTCTGTGAAACTGGCATAGGTTTTATAGCTTAGCTTTGAGTCATGATTTAATTGGCAGCATCTTTCTCCTTTTTAATGGGATGTAAAATAATGGTGCACTTATGACGTCTCTAGTTACAGTAATGATTTTAAAGTTTACAAATATTAAGAGAAAGGATAATACTGGTCTGTTAGTATACCAAGTTTTGTAGTTGTTCATTTCAAACTAGTTTTAGTTTTTGTAGCTAATTAATAATCTAAAGATTACTTTATTAGCTATTAACATGTGATGGCTACTCAAAGAATTTTCAGGTTCTCCATATTTTTTGAGAGTGGATTTTACTAAGCTGCCTCCTTACATTCTGATGAAATCCTAACTCATGGATTACATTTTGAATGTCTTATTTTAGTAAGCAGTTGCTTACTGGCTTGTTTTAATGTAATTTCTTTTTTTTTTTTGGTACCAGGAATTGAACTCCTGACCTCAGGCTTGCCAGGCAAGCGCTTATGCCACTGAGCTATATCCCTGGCCCCAATGTCCTTTTTTTTTGTACCAGGAATCGAACTCCAGACCTTGTGCTTACCAGGCATGTGCTTGTGCCACTGAGCTGTATCCCCGACCTGGCTTGTTTTAATGTGAAAAACATCTGTAAAAATCTTTAGTCTGTCATTGGCTTGGGTCTCACTATGTAGTTCAGGCTGACCTTGAACTCACTGTGTAGCCCAGGCTGGCCTGGAGCTCATAGCAGTTCTCCTGCCTCAGTCTCCAGAGTTCTGGGATTATAGGCATGCGCCACCACATCTGACTGTCATTGGATTATTTAAAAGCTCACCCATGAATTTGTGGGTTAGATTTTATATCTTAGTAAAATTACCTTCCAAAAGAATGATGTGTGTAAAATTAAACATTTAAGGTAGAAAGCTACAGCATGAAATATTTCATGAGTAGAACTATTTAGGAGTGGTGGGGTTTTTTTCTTTGCTAGAAATGGTTTGTAATATTATCTTGTTTACAGTAATAGAAGAAGCTATGTTTCCTGCTTCAGAAATTACCAACGATGTACGCTTCATAGCCAGATTCCTGAGCTCCTTTAGTTCTAGTCTGTGGTCACCACCAGTTGGATACCCTGCCATAAATGAGTTAGAATCTCTATAGAGATAGAGACAGCACTTCTGTGGATCATAGAAGCATTATAGAATTATAAGATGGGTGTGGTGTCACATGCCTGTAATCCCAGCACTTGAGAGGAGGCTGAGACAGGAGGATTGCTGAAAATTTGAGGCCAGCCTGAGCTACATAGTGAGTTCAAGGCCAGCCTGAACTGCTGCATAGTGAGACATTGTCTCAAAAAAAAACTACAGCTGGGTATGGTGGCTGATGCCTGTAATCTCAGCACTCATGAAGCTGAGGCTGCAAATTTGAGGCCCAGCCTGAACTACGTAACAAGACCCTGTGTCGAGAAACCAAAAAGAAATTGCAGAATTCTCAGAATTTGCTTTTTGATTCAGCTGGCCCTTAGTATATGTACACATTTATATGCCAATTTATGTTCCTTGCCTTTGTTGAATTAGCTCTTAGAATAAAGTGCATCTGACTTTTAAAAATATATTCTTAAACAACAGTTCTTGTCCTTCTCATCTGTTTAGGCCTCTATCTAGAAATGTGGCAAGTGCATCTTTTTTTTTTTTTTTTAATGGCACAAGGTAGACGTTTCCAAAAGTTACAACAGGGGGATACAAAGGAATGGGAGCAAAGCAAGTCCAGAATCCAGCAGGACAAACATTAAGTCCTGTAGTCAGTCGTATGCATTTGAGGCAGTCTGTGGTGAGATTCGGACTCAAAAGGGCATGAGTGGCCTCACCCTTATGGCACTGCCTGTGATTGTAGCTCCCATGGCTTTTCTCTTGGGCCAACTTTGCTCTCTCTCCTTGCAGTTTTCTTCAGAGAATCCACATTCCTGCCTTCTCCAAACTTGTGGGGTCTCCGTTGTACCTTTGGCTTCACACTCACAGCTTCTCACACTGCCCTCTCAGGGGCACACTGCCTGGCTTCCCAGGCCTTCTGAAATCTGGGTGGAAGCCTTCCTGACCCCACAACTCTTGCATTTTGCATGTACCTGAAACCAGTGCCACATGTATGATGCCAAGGTCTGCTGCCAGCTGGAAGCAGCCAGGCTTTCCTCTTTCTTAGCTGTAGGGGTTGAGTGCCTGAATCACTGATCAATCTGGTGTGGTTTTTTTCCTTTTTTTTTTTTT